GGGGGTCAGGCTAGATGATCTGTTCAGGTCCCTCCTGACCCTAGCTACTATGAAACTGAGAAACAATCAAAAAGCCCCAAAATTCCAACCTATGTATAGTCCATGTTGAGACCAGCAAAATAAATGCTAAAAATTGTATTTCTCATTTCAGTTGAGCCTTTTTTGTTTGTTTAAATATGTTTATAAAGGCACATTTGTCAGTGTAATTGAAAAGACAGTCAATATAAACTATGATTTTTAGGACTTTCCATGTAAAATATATATTTTATGTGTGCAGTACTTCTATACTGAGTAAAGCGTGGTTCTTGGTGTAAAGTAATCTTGAATTCTTGTTCTTTTTTTTATATACCAGGTTTCCTACCAAATTCCTCTGCAATCTAACCAGTGCCATGTTCCCCAGACATGCCAGCAAACTGAACAGTCACAAATCACTCAGCAGTGCCAACAAACCCAAACTGGTATTCCCTGTGAAATAATTCCAATCCCTGTGTGTGGTGATGGTAGAGAAAGGAGCAGGGTAACTGTCCAGACATGTGAACCAGTAAGAAAAACTTCTACTAAGTATTTTTCTTTTCATAATATATTATTATGACCTTGAGGGGTGTGGTCTCAGAAAGGTTAAGATACCTTGCTACACTTCTAGATGCAAAAGTTCAAACAGCAGCTTCAGAACTGTGCCACAGGCCACCCCCAGTTGTCCCTGCTGTAAATGGGTCATTCAGGCTGCAGAAGTTAAGGCAGTTGGACATGATGCTGACCATGTCATGTCTTCTGTGCCATTGGCTATAGAAACTGCTCTAGCCCCATGGGCAACTAGGCTCCAGAGGACCTTCGTCTTATTTTATAATAATATAGGATAGTGCTTTACAGAGACGCTGTGTTCTAGGTTTTCTCCTTGAAGTGCTCTATCTAAATAATGTGACGTGGTGATTTTAAGTTCCTTGTCTCCTTTTGGAAAATGCACAAAATAATAAACAAAATGTGTATGTATGTATGTATGTATCTTACTGCTGAACAATGACAACTTTCCCGTTTCTTGCAATCTCAGCATAGTGTGATTCTTTTGTGATTTGTCCAGAGTTGTCAAAGCAGACACTTATGAGCTTATTGAGTCAGCTGTATATATTTTAAGGGGCCCAAGTGGAAGGAGATTTTTTGGCTGGAGTGCAGACAAAATACATTTCAAAACTGCTCTGTAGCTTTACAATCATGTCGCTGGCAGATAGAGATGATGATTTTACATATGTTTTCCCTATATCCTGTTTATGGCATTTTGAGGGTAATTTTAAACCAAACCCATGCTGTCCAAAAACTGTGTGTTTGACCATTGCACTTGTCAAATTGATAGTTACTCTAGAAACACATTTACTAAGCAGTGGTTGGAAATTTGACTCTTAGGCATATTCCATCTAAATAGAAAAGACTAGAAAACTTATCCTGTCTCAGAAGATTACTTTGTTTTCAGAAAGTGTGGTACATAGGCTTATTCATTCCTCCTTTTACATTTTGTGGGAATTTAGTACCTTTTTCTCAGAAGTAAGATGTTTGTGTATGATCTTCCTGTTGTGGTACTCTCATAAGCATGCCACACTTGGCTAATCTGTTTACCTGTATGTAGTCTTAGCAGCACACAGTATCCTCTAAGGTGGCTTTTCTAGCTGTTATCAGTTAGTGTGTGATGTCAAGCCAGACTTTTTAGCACTATCTATTTCCATTTTTTTGTTATCTAAGGGTCAGATTTTTAATCATCTTGGGGCATGTTTGGCACTTGTGTACAAGTAGGAATTTCGTTTCTTGGCTATGTAACTCTGCATGCTGAGAAGACTATGTATGCACATGTCTGAGATCAAGTCTTGCGAACAAAATGATGGAGGAGAAGGGCACTCCTGTGTGTTTTACCCTAGTAGCTGAGTGATCCAGGACGCTTATACAGAAAGCTGGAGACATAGGTTATAGGTGACCCCTGCTTAAAGAGGGTTAAAACCTCCATCTTTCTGATACCTCTTCACAGTACTCTAATGACCAGTTAGATATGCCTCTCCCCAGTGCTTCTTTTGAGAATGAGCCATTGTGCCTTGCATTGAATAGTTATTGGAAAAGATGGACAAAAAGCAGTTTTTGCCTCACTGGGAGCAGGGCTCTAGGCTGAAATCCATGACCCGTGCTGTCTTGTTGAGTCACACTTCCTCTAGCTTGCTTTCTTCCACTTGGGCCCACATCTCCCTCTCTTGGTTGCCTGGGGAGGGGTGGAGATAGTATCAAAGAAAACTCCCGTAAAAGGGTATGGGTAAGGCTTGATCTGTGGTGTGGTGGTTAGAGTGCTGTTCTGGGAAGATGGAGTGATGCAAGTTCAAGCACACTGTGGGAAAGGGGGCCCCTAGAACCTGTGGGCACTTATAGATGTGTTCTGGGAGGTAGAGGAGGCACTCTATTTAGCTCATGTCCAAGAGCCACACTAAATAAGTGTCACATGTATCAGCATTCCCATGCTGAAAAATGGTGGTGGGGCACTTTGAACTAAAGCTTATTAAACCAGCATTAATTTAAAGTGCCCCACCACCATTTTTCAGTGTGGGGATGCTGATACTTGTGGTGCTGGAGTTTGCTGGAGCTTGGTAATTGCCATGCTCCAGGAGACTCAATGAATCAAGTCTGCTTCAACACGCTGTTATTGCAGCACATCGGAGCAGCCTTCCTGCACATATATAGGAGCCATGTGTTTCCAGATGAGTGCCCTCACTCAGCTAAAATGTGGTAAGGTGGTCTTCCCTCCTCTCTCCTATCATAGTTTTGGGCTGCCTACACTTCTGGACTTTAGCTATCAGCATGCTTCGCAAGGGTGTACAGTGCCTATAGCCATGTATGTCTCCTGAACACACTAATTCTGTGCACAAACTGTGTATATCCATACTTTCTCCACACTGCCAGGAAACAGAATCTTCCACTTAGACAATCAGAGGGAAACAGAATGCCACCCTTAGTGTGACAGTAATTTCCTCAAACTTTGTAACAGAATTCCTTACATCATACTGTAGACACTTCTGCTAATGTGATTTTTGCTTGGAGAAGTGCAAAGAGATTTCCTTTCTTATGTCTAATTTCTCCCTATTCCTTCCACAAATTCTGTACTGGTGGACTTCCCTGCTTAATTTAAAAACACTTCGTATATCAGTCTTGCTCCTCTGTTCTTAATTTTTTCTTCTCCCTGTCTCCTCTCCAGTTCCTTCCCTGAGATTTCCTTGAGACTTCTCTTGTCTCCTAGTGCTCCAACTTCATGCTTTTTTCCAGACCATCTGAAAAAAACTACAAAATTTCCAAACTGCTTGGAAAAATTTCTCCATCCTTTGTCTCTGGGACTGCAGTCAGGTATGCACATACATAGTCTTGTATGAATGCACAATTGTGTGTCCAGGAAATGAAATGCCTGTCTGTGAGTAAGGGCCAAATATATCACTTATGGCACAAGGATTGATTTGGAGAGAAGGTAGGTCTGAAACAGAGCACCTAACATTTTGCTTTAGCTATGATAGGAGAAGTGTGGGTTTTGCATTTCGTAAGTTATCACAAAGGTGGAGTTCATGAGAGAGGGAGTCTAGATTCTTTTAATTTGTTTATACCAGAATTATTCATCTCGGGCTCTTTGTAGTGCTACACATGAATGTCTAGCCTAGCCTGATATACTTGCAGACACATGTAGGAGAATACAGAAACAATGACGACACAGTAATATGTGCATAGCTTTGCAGTGGGGAATCTCATGCTTATGACAGGCCAATCTGGGTGCCACCCCTCTGGATTAACTGTGCAGACAAAGCCACAGGGATGTGTGCTGTTCATTAAATAAATATATTTAAAAAGAGAGCTTAATTCCCAATTCTTAGCACCTTCCTTTCCAGAACAGTGACCACACTAATATAGTAGAAAGATATTTTCAGTGAGAAGTCTTTGGAATAAGTTTAGTGTAATGAGACTGATTTTGCTTCTTTATTTTATCGCTGTGGTGTAGTAAAGGAATTATTTGGCTTTTATAGTACTTTATTGAAAAAATGATGAAATAGATGGTATAGTATTACTGTAGCCAGGGTGGTCCAAGGTATACATGAAAAGCAAGGTTTGTTTGGTGCTTTTTTTTTTTTTTTTTTTTTTTTTAATCATTGCCTGAAGTGCATAATTGGGAGAGACATTGGATGAGCTTTTGGACTTGAAGGGTATTTTGTGTTCAAAGACTTACCTAACATCTGTCTAAGTTATGCAGTAGGTTCGGTACAAGATTATTACCAAAACAAGTCTTGCTTTTTTCAAAATACAAAAACTTTTGTAAGTAATAAGAGCAAACAAATAATAATGCATGTCATAAACCTTCTGAAGTTCAGTCGTAACTTTTTTTTTAAAGGTAGAAATGTTCATATTATTTTTCCATATTAATCAGGATATTGATTTGCCTTTCTCACCCCTGCCCCACTTCTAGGTGCCATGTCCTCAGCAATGTATGCCATGTCCTCAGCAATATATGCCATGTCCTCAGGAATGTAACGACCAGCTGGATTGCCGATATTTTGGAGAACTACTTGCTGAACTGAACTGCAAGAGTAATGACCTGTACAGCTGTTTACTGCAGCATGTGGACAAGCTAGGAAGGAGGTACTTTAGGAATAGTTGTCCCATCCTTCTGGTATTCTAAAAATCTTAGGATTGCATACCATAGTTTACCATGCCTGAGCAACCTGATTACCTTTTATGATGAGATAACTGGCTCTGCGGATGCAGGGAGAGAAGTGGCCATGATTATACCTTGCGTCTAGCAAAGCTTTTGATTTAGTTTCCTACAACATTCATGCAAGAATAAGTAATGGCTCGAGGTCTAGTTGGCAGCCAGTATCAAGTGGAGTGCCTCAGGCGTCAGTCCTGGGGCTGGTTTTCTTCACTACCTTCATCAACAATCTGGAATATAAAATGGAGTGCACCCTTAGCAAATTTGCTGATGACACTGAGCTGGGGGGAGTAGTAGATACCCTGGAGGGTATGGCTGGGATTTGGAGAGCTCTTGCCAAATTGGAGGACTGGACCAAAAGAAATTTCATGAGGTTCAATAAGGATAAGTGCAAAGTCCTGCACTTAGGATGGAACAATCCTATGCACTGGTACAGGCTGGGAACTGACTGGCTAAATAACAGATCTGTAGAAAAACACCTGGGGGTTATAGTGGACAATAAGTTGAATATGAACCAACAGTGTTACCTTGTTGCCAGGAAGGCTAATGGCATACTGGGCTGCATTAGTAGGAGTGTTGCCAGCAGATTGAAGGAAGTGATTATTCCCCTCTATTTGGCACTGGTGAGGCCTCATCTGGAGTACTGTGTCCAGTTTTGGGGCCCTGCATTACAGAAAGGATGTAGACAAATTGGATAGAGTCCAGAAGAGGGTAACAAAAATGGTTAGATGGCTGGGGAACATGACTGCTGAGGAGAGGCTGAGGGAACTGGTTTTATTTAGTCTGGAGAAGAGAAGACTGAGGTGAGGGGGGATTATTTTCAGCCTTCAGCTACCTGAAGGTTGGTTCCAAAGAGGATGGAACTAGACTGTTTTCAGTGATGGCAGATGAGAGAGCAAGGAACAATTGTCTCAAGTTGCAGCAATAGAAGTTTCAGTTAGATGTTAGGAAAAACTTTTTCACTAGAAGGGTAGTAATGCACTGGAAAAGGCTATCCAGAGATGTGGTGGAAATTCCATCCTCAGAGGCTTTTAAGACCTGGGTAGACAAAGCCTTGTCTGGGATGATATAGTTGAGGATGGTTCTACTTTGAGCAGGGGGTTGATGCCCTCCTGTGGTCTCTTCCCACCCTAATTTTCTATGAACCTTTGATTTCTTAGGGTGATATCTCTTATTGGACCAACTGCATAGTTAGGATAGAGTTAGACAAGTTTTCTGAATGCAAGATGTTCTTCAGGTGACCAAAGAAAAATGTTTTGCATTCAAAAGCTTATCAGACTCTATCCCAACTATGCAGTTGGTCCAATAAAAGATATCACCTTAAGAAATGCTTGCCCCTCAGAATTCCTGGACCATCACGGCTACAACCTTACTCTAGGACTCTCACAGTTTATGCACTCACTGACTTGCACACAGATACAAGAGATGGCAATAACCATGCAACTTTATTGAATCCAGTATATTTCGCATTGTCTGTGATTAAATGCTCAAGGCACTTAAGAGTTACATATCTTCACTCTTGTTGAGATATTTAGACAGCATAGGAAGTATACTGCAGTGTGTGAACAGCGTGCTGTGACATGTTGCTCAAAGAAACAATTAGATTGCTTAACTGAAAATGTTAAAAAAAATTACCCTTTTGTTAACATTGTAGCTTTATTCCTTATATTAAGGCATATTTTGGATTGAGAGATCAGCTTCATGCATTGTAATGTACAGCACCTAAATGAAAATTAATCTGTATAGATTAATAGTATTTGAAAGACTTATTTGATACTTAATCTCACCAGGCTGCATTTATTTTTCAAAATAAACTTTTCAACTCTTTTAAAACTGTTGTTCCATCCCTCTCCACCCTGTTTTTTCTTGCTCTCACTGGCCCATGTTTATTTTTCCCTAAAGCAGTAAAGGTACTCATCAATTTTAATGACTATTTAATGATTTTCTGTTGCAGAAAATCAGAATTAACTATGAATTAACTTATCGTGGTAACTGTTAAAGTGTTGGTAATGCTTAGAAATGTCTTAATGGTTCCCAAATGTTGCCTTTCATAAAGGAAAAGTCTGTGCTGGGGTTAACCCTCCTTTGCTTCTGGTATGAAGTTTAAAAAGTGGGAGAGAACAAAGGCTTGCCTTGTACCACTTTTGAGTATTGGGTCAGTTTTTCTATTCTGCATTAAAATCAGCAGGAAGTACTATCTCTCAATCTGTCATTGTGTGTGTCTTACAGGAAACACAACATTGAATCTCACAGTGAAGTAAGTGTCCAGTGCAATCCAGTCTGGTCTGTCACTGACTTCTATTGGTGGTGGGAATGAGATGGAGCCTCTGTGTAAAGCAGATGGAGCCTTCTGCAGTGAAGCTATATGAACTTTCATCAGCTGAAGATCTGGAGCAGCCTACTGAATCTATGATAATAGAAGATTCTTAGTTATTAATAGGGTTCTGAATCTACAGCTGTAGAGGTGTAAATATGATGTTGATAAAGGCCTCTATTTTTTTTAAGGCTTTTGGATCAGAAGGTGAAGTGATACTTCCATAGTAAGCTGCAGGAAAGAGGGCCACTTCTTAAAATACTTGCAGTGCTTCTTTCAGCTTGTTGGTCTTTCTGGTGCCTATAACTCTGTCTATACTTAGCAATGGAAATTTGATCAGATTCTATTACAAACTGATAGTGACAACTTAATATAACTTTTTTATTTTAATTCTAAAAAAATGTTTTTAGCATATTCATCAATCAAAAGTTTAAATAATATAACAATGTAATGTTATATAGAGTGTCAAACACAGATTTCTGGATGGAGTGTGATCTATTCACATTCTATTTATTATATCACAGTAACCATGTTTCTTCATAGTGATGTGTGATTAATAAATAGATATTATGAAACTTCTCAGGATTTCAAAGATAACCAGTTGTATTTGGTTTGACTTTTTATTCCCTTCATTCCACTTCTAGATTGAAGACATTGAATGTTTGATTCCTAAAGGATTATCAGAATCAACAAAGCAGTTAATTCGTTATATCCTTCAGGTATGCAAATAAAATAAACCACTAAAAGAGATGGGGATAAGGGGAAAAGTTAAGTTGAAGCAGCTAGTAATTGCCTTGATTTCCTGAAATACACATGAACATATACATTAGATATTTTATTTTATCCTAATGCCTTATCCTTCTTAGAATCCTACTGTGGGCTTTGTCTGAATGGTATGCCATCACAGTTGTTTCAGCAGACTACTTACTTTTTACACGATGCACTTTTTTCTCTTTTAAAATGTTTAATTCTGTCTTTCAATTTTGCTGGAAACTATTTAGTCTTATACAGAAGAATTAAATAACACCTGCTTTACATCTTTAGACCTTTTGTTAGTTGTTCTTTGTATTAAGATTCTAATTGTAAAGATTTAAAAAGTCATTAATGGTTTTAACAAATGTTTAATTGTCATACTTCAACAAGTTCCTTAATTTCTTACAACCATTTAACTCATGTTGGTATGCTAAGAACCATCTATGACACTCAGCATGCACGTCTGTTTTACACTGATGATGTTATCTTAGTCATTTTACAATTTTATAAGCTTTATAAATGCAACTTTTAATGTAAAAGTGTGCCCTGTTGTTTTATATCTCCGTGTTCTCTTGATCTTCTCTCCTAACAAGTGCAGTCTCTCCTCAGCCAGGTTTGCATATTTTGAGATCTGAGGTGATCAGAAAAAGAAAAACAGAAGCCTCAAAATGAAGCAGGCTGGGTCATCTAATGGCCTCATAATAGTCACATTATTACTTTCTTACCATCTTTTGATACATATTAGTATGGTATTCTCATACTATAAAGTGTTTTGATACCAGCTACTGAAAGGTGCTATATAAGAGAGAGGGGCCAGATTCAGTACAGGATATGTAGCCCACAGTGGAATTTAGAACCCTAATTTACGTGCTTAGGCTCTCTTCATGGACTGTATAAAGAGCCTAAGCACTTCTTAGCAGCTGATATCAAGACAACTCAGAATGGTAACCAAGACAGCTGTCTAAGCCAGCCAATAAGTATTGCAGAGTACCAGGGTGAATTTTAGATCCTGTTACTCTCTAAATCTCACACCACAATCTAGTTGGCATCCACAACCTGGAATCCTTTCCTTAGGGTAGAGGCTGAGGCCTATAACCATTCTTTAAAAGAACTGAATAGGAATCAGTCTCTTTTTAAAGTTAAAGCACTTGCCCAGAAAATCAGGGACCTGCATTTAATTCCACCTTCTGATTATAAGGGATCCAAACCTGCATCTTACAGCACCCAGGAAACTGCCCTAACAATACCTCCCTCTCCACCCAGTGTAATACAAGAAAACAGTCACAATTGTATTTATTTTGTCAACATATTCAATATAGTTAAAAACAGCTTCCTCCCCAGGGGACTTTGAGAGAAGAGTCTGTTTTCCAGATCCTGGTTGAACTTGGGCAAGAATTAAATGCCAGGCACCAGGCTGTTCACAGGGGCATGTGCAAAGATATCTTTATGTGTATAGGGAATAAAGTAAAGTAAAAAAAAAAAAAAAAAAAAAAAGTACTTGTATAGTACTTGTAAAGTAAAAAAAAAAAAAAAGTACAGGCCCCTGACAGACTTCTGTTAATTGCATGATAAATGGCAACATGCCACACGTGCAAAAAATTTATGAAACAATTAAAATGCCAAATCGGCGGCAAAGATTTTCCTCTTTAAATTGATAAAAGTGGACTGGTTTGCATCATGCTGTAATTTGAACATGTGGTTTGCTGACATGTTCAAAGGGTAGCAGGTGCAGCTGGGCTGCATCCATGGTTTTTAAAGGTCCCAGGGTGCCAGATATACAACATCAGGGAGAGGGTCCTTGGTGTCAGACTCCCAGTACCCCAAGCTTTTAAAAACCCAACAGTCATTATGGATCAGATGACACTTATGACAGATCCCCAAAATCAGACTTCTTGCCTTGCAAGTATGGCTTAGTAGGATGCACAGGTTTTGGGATCTAGTGTAAAATTTGTCAGATCTGAGTTGTATGACTAAATTTAGTATCTGCCAGCGGCCGCTGGGTTAGGCAGTCAAGTTTCTTTCTAGTCAATGCAGCTTCAGGAATAGGGTTAGCAAGCGAGCATTTTTTTAAACTTTTTTTGGATTTCAATTTTGGACCCAAGTACCCAAATGCTTTATAAGTCCTTTATTGAAAATCTCTCTTGGTGTAGATGTTTTGTTTACCTTTTTGGCCATAGCTGTGAAATATCTTAAGTTAAAACTGAAATTCTATCACATTCTACCTTAATTAAAAATGAGAAATTCTGATTTCTAATTAAAATCTAATTCTGTTTTCTAATAGAAATTTACCTTCCATAGCTTTAGAATTGCATTTTTGAAGGCCCAGGTACAGATGGTGTAAAAATGGAGCACCGTGTGTATTCATAAATATAAAATGGTATTTTGATACTTGTAGTTCCAGCCACTTCTGACTTCAGTGTAAAATAAATTATTTAATACTAATAATGTAAACTGAAACACATCTTCTATGTTATAAAAGTGCTTTGGTTTTTAACTGACTGACATTGTAAGTCCTGCAAAAGAAGTTTTCAACAGTATTGTGTGTTGGTAATTTATATCCTATTAATATAATCCATACAAATATGGAAACAGACATTTTTATAGTAGATAATGTAGTCCTGTTCTTTTGATATTGAGATAAGTGACAAGCAGTTGTTTATAATCTTAGGATCTATAGCACTTGCTATCTGCAGTTCTTCTTGTATTTGGCAAAAAAAACTTGATGCTCCTTCCCAGGATTTTAAGTTGGTACTGCAACAAAAAATCACTTTAATATAAACTGACACACACACAGCTGTTTGAATGTATTAATGATGGAGGTGGGGGGAATGAAAATGGGTAAAGTTGCATTTACCAGCACTACTGGTTTTATTTAATGTTCAGTTGAATCCTTTTAATCTTTTTGGTTTTGTACTTTGAAGGGAGGAGCTGTTTGTTTTGGGTTTTTTTGTTTTGTTTAATGGCTTTGTCCTTGGGCTAAAGGCTTAGTTTCACAAACCTCAGAGATGAATCACTGCCATGTAGTTTCCTAGGAGTGGTGGTTATTAAATTGCTATAACCTCAAAAAGCACTAAACTTGCAAACTAGCTGAAAATATTAAATACTAGCATATTTATTTATTTCATTAAGTTCATGCTTCCAGTTCCTCTTTATTTCTCTTGCTCTTTATTAATTTGAATATATGTTTTGTCCTGTGAGGCAAGAACTAATAACTGTAATTTGCAGTGAGCATAAGTCTCACATTTGTAGACATTGATTGAAGTTTCAAAGCTGAATGATGTGAGCAGCTCTTTTTGGCTAACTACAGAGTGAGTTTATTTTCCTCTTTACTGCCATTATTAAGTCACTAAGCATATTTCAAACAAAATCTGTACCATTAAGCCAGAAGAAAACTGGTTTTATAACTGATGTTGACTCTCTCTAGTTGTGGTAAAAGATTATATTCCACAAAATACTGAAAATTGATCCTTTTCTTTCCAGATGAGAGTGACATCAGATAAATCGCTGAGACTCGTGCTTTCTACTTTTAGCAGTTTGCGAGAGGAGCTTTGCCATCTACAAGGTGATTTAGGGGTAGGTCATTGCATTTTCTTTTTTTTTTTTAGTTTTTCATTGGCTCATCTAAATTAGTTGTAACAATGGAGGAGTAACTTTTGATCACTGGGTCTATTTTCTTACACAAATCAGGCCTCTGGTATGTGCCTCTCACTGCTTTAAATGTCTTCAAGAAGTTGAGGTATTGGCTTTAATCTTAAGGAAACTGTTGTTGCAGATAAACAGTATATTTGCTATGGAGTACACTGACACTTAATGTACAGCCTTATTCTAGTGTAAGCTACTCTGCTCCAGGGTAAACTTACCCCCCAGTGGGTGCAGACACAGAGCAACTGAGTCATTCCAACATGTCACTGATTGGGAACCAATCTGTAAAGGTTACAGGACAGGGTACAGACACACATAACAATTGAAGCATTCTCATATGTCACTGATTGAGAACCAGTTCAAAATTGTGCACCCTGACACCAGGGAGTGGGAGGGAGCACCCAGCCCAGCATGTCTCACAGTGGTATGTGCTTGCACTGATGCTTTACAGGCGCCAGGGATTGGGTAACCTGTGGCTGAGGGCTTTCACTTTTCTGCTTGCCCTTCTCCTAAACATGAGTACAAAACCCTTCAATAGTCTACAGTTGACTGAAGTCTGCTGTGTACTTCCCTGACTTGTGGGGGGAGTGCTTGGACCCATATTGTGTGGGCCCCAGAGGCTGGGAGGCATAATATGGGGTTGCTGTTCAGGAGCAAGGACTCAACTGATTATTGAACCAGCAACTTGTTGATTTAAAAACTGGGGGGCAGTAGTGACCTATCTGTACCAGAGCACCCAGTTGCAGCAGTGGGGGAAAAGTGAGGGGTGAGAAATCATAGAATCATAGAAGTAGGGTCGGAAGGGACCTTGCAGATCTTCAGGTCCGACCCCCTGCCTAGGCAGGAAGAAAACTGGGCTCAAATGACCCCAGCAAGGTAGGCATCAAGCCACTTCTTAAAGACCCCAGGGTAGGAGCCAGCACCACTTCCCTTGGAAGTTGGTTCCAGATCCTAGCCACCCTGACTGTGAAGTAGTTCTTACGGATGTCTAATCTAAACCTCGTCTCCAACAACTTGTGGCCGTTATTCCTTGTTATCTGGGGGGGTGCTAGGGGAAACAAGGTCTCCCCCAAACCCTTCTGGTCCCCCCCTAGTGAGTTTATAGACGGTCACAGGTCCCCCCTCAGCCTTCTCTTGTGAAGGCTGAACAGGTTCAGGTCCCATAACCTCTCGTTGTAGGGTCTGCCCTGCAGTCCCCGGATCATGTGGGTGGCCCTCCTCTGAACCCTCTCAATGTTGTCCACATCTCTCTTGAAGTGGGGTGCCCAGAACTGGACACAGTACTCCAGCTGTGGCCTGACCAGTGTCACGTAGAGGGGGAGGATCACCTCCTTGGCCCTACTTGAGATGCACCTGTGGATGCACGATAAGGTCCGGTTAGACCTGCCGACCGTGACCTCGCATTGTCGGCCCATGTTCATCTTGGAGTCAGTGATGACTCCAAGATCCCTTTCTGCCTCCGTGCTCTCAAGAAGGGAGTTTCCCATCTTATAAGTGTGCTGCTGGTTACTACTGCCCAAGTGCAGCACCCTGCACTTGTCAGTATTGAAATGCATCCTGTTTTTGTTAGCCCACCCCTGCAACCTATCCAGGTCTTTCTGCAGTCTCTCCCTCCCTGCTAATGTGCCCACCTCTCCCCATATTTTGGTATCATCAGCAAATTTGAACAGGTTGCTTTTCACCCCGTCATCCAAATCGCTGATAAAGAAATTGAACAGTGCGGGCCCAAGGGCTGAACCCTGGGGGACTCCGCTGCCCACTTCCCCCCAGGTCAAATATGACCCGTCCACCACCACCCTCCTGAGTATGACCCTTCAGCCAGTTAGCAATCCATCTGACCGTGTAGGCATTGATGCCACAGTCACCTAGTTTTTTAATGAGGATGGGGTGGTCGACAGTGTCAAAGGCCTTGCTGAAGTCCAGAAAGACTACATCTAATGCTTTTGTGACCTGATCGTAAAAGGCAATCAGGTTGGTCTGACATGACCTGCCCTTAATGAAACCGTGCTGGTTGCCCTTGAGCATCATCCCCGATGCCAGCCCGTGACAGATGGGCTCCTTGATGATCTTCTCAAAGAGTTTCCCCAGGATTGAGGTAAGACTGACGGGCCTAAGGTTGCCCGGGTCCTCCCTCCTCCCTTTTTTAAAGATGGGGACCACATTGGCTATCTTCCAATCATCTGGCACCTGGCCCAAGCACCACGAGCACTCATAAAGCCATGCCAAGGTGGGGCACGGCTTTACGAGCTGTGATGCAGTGGGGGATGATGCAGTGGGGGAAATGATGCAGTGGGGGATGCCTGGAAGACCAACTAGTTCTGTCATGAAATCCTTCGTGTCCACCCTTCACACTGAACCATTTCTCAGTGCACTGGTTCAAAATAGTTCTTGATTTTTCAGGTAGAATTTGAACCAGGCATCTTTAAATCAGCTTGACAGGCTTGTATGTCTGTCTGCTTGTGGCTTAAACTGCATTTAAACCATTCTAAATGTTACGTATGTCCATGTCAAATGAGGAGGAACTATACACCAGTATAAGTTTTTATTCCTATGTATTGGTTATGTGTTCACTCCTCTAGCCAAACTGATTTTCTCCCACCTAGTTGTCTAGGGCCAATTAGAAGTAGCTAGCACAGAGCTGTCTTTATACTACAGAATAATATCTGGGGTAAGTTAATCAAGTCCTGTATCTGCAACCTCATTTGCTGTGCCGTCTTCCCCACCTCCCCACCCATTGTTGGGAATGAAGAGGGGCCACTATGGGAGATGCCTGTCCTGCTCCCCAGCACAAGGAGTGTCTGCAAGTGGGGGATTACCAGGGACAGGTATGGGTGAGCAGGTAACCCCTATTTTTCTCCATGTCTGGAGAGACTTCTGGGGTGCTTTTCTTTAAGTGGGGCAAGCCAGGCAGGTGCTCCAGGAGTTCGAGGAACTGAAACCTCCATGCACCTGCCTGGGATCTCTGGAGAGAGTAAGCAGCTTATGCTGCTTGTGTTCTCCTGCCACAGAGTAAGAGATGTCTGTCGCAAAAAAGCAGCAGAGTCTGGTACTACCTTTTTGTCATGCCACTTTTTTTTTTCTCTCATGTGGCATGACAAACGGTAGCAAAGTGTATTAGCTCACCATTTGAGGCATCAGGAGATATGTTTCCACCCTTATAGATTTTATATTTTTGTCTCCTTTTGTATAGATGCTGATTTATTTTTTTCATTCATCTGTATCTTAAAAGAAAGGGTCCATTATTTCAGTAGAGAAATTGCAGTAGTTATTGATTTATTTTTATTTTTCAGAAACTAGAAACTGAAAATATGTTGCTCAAGAAAGACCTTGCTTTTAAAGAATCTCAGGCAAAGGAATACGAAACACTGTTGGCTTCTCTGAGAGAGAATAATCGCCAGCAGCAGGTAAGTTGGAAGACTTATTGCGTAACAAAGTAACTACCACCCAAAACTAACATACAGAATACCATTGAGCTTTATAAAATAAAATAAAAATCACAAATCTATTCTTCATGATCCTTTCAACTTCCAACATAAATCTGCGTTCTCTGTAATGTGTGAATACATTTTATTGAATTATACTAATATACTAAATTTATACTGTTAAAGTAATTATACTGTTTTAAAGTGTATGTATAATGGAGGGGAGCTTCCCACTCATTACAGCAGAGCAACTGACATGCTCATATCCGTCTGCTCCTATTCTACTAAGTGAAGGTTAAAACACAATAATTTATCCCATATAAAACAATGGACAAACTAAACTGTAAGTAGATTTGGCTGAACTATAGTGGAACTGAAGCCATATAATTGTTTCATCTCAACTTTCATCTAATACTAAAGCCAACTAATAGTTCTCTGACAACCTAAGAAGCTCTTAAAGTGGGAGTAAACTTTTTTCTAAATGTATTTAAGTACTGACTCATGTCTGGTTGCATGTGAATAACAAGTAATGTGTCCTGTGTGGGATGTGGTAGTTCACAAAAAAGATTATTCTTCACTTAACGCTTTGGCAGAAATAATTAGCGCAGCATGCTAGCGCTTTGTTTTTTTCCCCTTCACTAAAGTTCTGTGTACAATAGTTGCCATTGTTTAGAAACATTAAAATTAGCAATTCAGCCTAATGGATAAAATTAGTTTGAAATGGGAGCTGCGTAGTTGTCAGAGGAGAAGAAGATCGTTTAAAACAAAAATATGAAGAACACTTTTTAATCCAGTGCTTGGTAAAGTTTTATAATCTGTTTAAGAGCAAATTTGCCTAGTTCTTAGCATGCCCAACTTCCTCCACACCCACTTCTTCCAGGAACAGTAAATACAAAAGCCTATTTCCAGTCTTGAGTGTGCAGCCAACCCTTGGTGAAATTGCGTACTAAGGATCTGATCTTGGAAGGTGTGTCTTTAGTTCCCATAGGCTACGAAGAAAGTTGAATTTCTGAAACACCTCCCATTATCTGGCCCTACGTCAGATCTGAATAAAGAAATGGCTGTGTATAAATAACTGTATGTCCCCAAATAATGAGCACTAGTCAAAGACAGACTTTGAGACTACCACGCTGCTCCATATCTAATTTTACTTTCTTGTGCACTGCTTTCATAGCAAGGACTCCGAGAAAATATTGCAAAATGTCGCTCACTGGAAGAACAGATCCTTTCTCTCCGCCATGGTGAGGGAGAGAAGGAGTGTCACTTAAAGGAACTAGAGTACAGTAAACGTGCCTTGGAACAAGAGATCCAGAACCTGAGAAGGCAGGTAATGGACTCCTTTGTTATCTCAAAACATTACTGTTTACTAATTACTGGCGGTAGATTTATAAGTTAAAGAAAAAATGGACATTCTAGTGAGCATATTAATTCAGAATAAACTTGTTTTTATCAGCTACTGAGATCCTGTTATATCCTTACAACTGTGATAAATTATGTTGTAATCAATATTGTATTTAATTTTGCAACATTTGTTTTCTAGACTTGTTCTAGTTCAGTGGTACAGTCTGCCACAGATGAGCTCTCCAGCCGTTATGTGGAAATGATTAACAACTTGAGAGAAGATAAAGATAGAGTGATCTGCAATCTTAGGGTATGGTGATTATCTTATAACCTATAGATTTGTAGCATAATACAGAATTCTGAGTAAAATATAGGCACCATTAAAAGGCAAATTCCATTTTCTGAACTAAAAAGTAAGACGCATAGAATAAATTTATTGCAGCTACAGAATTTTGTTTGAAATTAATTTAATGAGAACCTGATGATCCATTTGTCCTGTTGTGTATTATTTATCCAGGGTTGTTAGTTTTTGGAGTTGTGACCACAATATCACACAGACCAGAGGATCAGACTTTATTACATTCATATTTATGTGGTCTAAATCTTGTGCCACAGTAATGCAAACAGTAAACGGCAAAAACCAGTAACAAAATATGTGAGGGATCAGTACATAGAATAAATTTACGAACTTATATAAAATAAGTTTAAATATGACCAGCAAATGAATAGACCAAAAAGGTCACATAGCCTAAGTATTAAAGACACTAAAGTGCGCATGTTGTTGTCTTCTTTTTTTCTCTTTTTAACTGTTTTTAAATTATGTATTTCTGTGGATTTAATGACACATTATTTTGGGTCTAACATAACCATCTTTCCCTTGTTTGCACACGTGAAAAAATAGGTGTAGGTGTTAATTTAAAAGCAAGCAGTCAGAGTTGTAAACAGTTTGAATAAAAAATTTCTTCCTCTAATATTCAAATTTAATCGCATCAGTTCTCTGCTATAAATTAATAAAGGGATTCCATTTTTTGGTAAACTTCTAGATGCACAGATTTCAGAACTTATTCCTATGAAATTCTTTAGAATATGTATGATTGTACCTTTTTGGGGTTTTTTTTAGTCTCAATTAAGTCAATACCAGCAAGATGTTTCAAAAAGAAACGAAAGTAACAGTGACTTACAGATAAAGCTGCATGAACTGATTTCAAAGTTGGAAGACAAAGAAGTTTTTATTAAACAGCAGGAAGAGGTAAGGAATGAGATTTTGTTCTGTGTAGGTTTTTATAAGAATTCTGTTTATTCTTCCCCTGTTTACGGCCACAAGAAAATCTAAATGTCAGTGGCATAAATAATTTGCAATTAAAAGAGAAAATAGAATGAAAAGTGATGGACAAGAGAAGTGCTGCCGTGGCACCATTCCACTAGTTCAGTTTTCTATAATTCCTCTTCTACCTGTACATTTTAACAAGGCTCTTTTCTTGCATTTTTGTCAACATATCAAGGTCAAATACATCTTTAGGAAACAGTTTATAAGTAGAAAAAAATGTAATGTGCTCCAAGACTCCTTTGTACTATGCTTTGTATATGTATAGGTGTCTCCTTCTCCATGGTAAATAGATGCCAGAGGAATCTGAGTATACTTCAAAGCTTTGAGAGAGGAGTTATGTACCCCATTCAATTTTTCCTCCTTTAAACAGTATTACATTTTGCCCAACTTATTGTAGTTCCACCAACTGCTGAGTAGAGGCCTTCCCCTGTCCCACTCTGTTGGAATGACAAACTTTATTTCATAGTACCTTCTGAAAGGAGTTTAAACTCCCTACAGAGCTTTCCAGAAGAGTTCACTTTTTTTATTTTTGGCTTCCTCAGGAACTCTTCAAATTGAAAAATGGAAGACTGTCATGCAATCACTGTCCAGGTGTAACAAGGACTGTCAATATCACCAGGTATGGGATTAAAACTCTTTAAGAAATATGTCCTTTTTAAATTTTAAGTGGATACAGCTTTTCAAAGAAATAGCCTCTTGCAGGCAGTGATATACAACATCCTGTTTTAAAAATTTCAACCGAATTACGAAAATTCCAATTAAGAAAACCTTTCTGGAGAGAACTCAATCCATATGGTCTCACTGACCATGTTAATACTGTTTAAAAGAAATAACAGAAAAAAATCAGTATTTGTGTTATCTAAATTTCAATTTGATATAACTTTGGCAGGCTCCATGTTTCCTGGAAAATGACAACGTTCTTTGTCTTACTCATGCAGGAAGAGGTTTGCCAATTATTTTGAATAAAAAGCACATCTATGCCTAGAGGACTATAAAAATATCAAGATCTTTCACTTGCTTCTGAATACACAAAGGAGGTTTAGATTTGCTTTCTTTAAGGATAGGCAATGGTGATCCTGTCTTTTAAAACGCTGGGAGCTTTAAAAGGCTCATAAGCCTGTCAGTGAGCCTATGCAGCTCACTGACAGGCATCTCTGGGGTTGGGGAGAGCTACAGATCATCTCTCTATCACACCTTGATTAGAGAGGGGCCTTTGCCCTCCAGCCAGGGTGTTGTGAATGTGTGGCTGCCCATAGCACTTTATTTTCTGTTGAGCTACAAAGATTACAGCTTGACAAAATAATGTCTTCCAGGGGCCTACATATACCTATGTATTTTCCATTCCAAAGAGATGTGAAACCTTAATGCTGGCCTAACTCACTCCCCAAAGTGGGTGTGGTCTACTGAATGATTGCTGCCTGGGCTTGACAGAAGTCCTAGTGAGGGGGCAGAGCCAGTCCAGGCCCAGCAGGGTATAAAAGGAGACTGACCAGGGAGCCAGTGAACAGGGCTGCAAACAGGGTAAGCAGTTTGCAGGCAGTTCACAGGCCACTTCCTAAGTCAGTTCATGGGCCCCCCCCCCCCCCCCGCCCTTGCTTTTTGAGGGGTGTGAAGAAGCAGGGGGGAAAAAGGAACCCATTGGGGCCAACAAGTAATAAACATGTCAGTTTCCAGGTAAGTTTGCTAGGGAAGATGTGCTTGGAAGAAGGGCAGTAAGAGAGAAGAGGCAGATTAAGAGACCCAGGGAACTGGCTGGAGCAATATCAGAACCACTGCCACTACCTCTGATTGCACCTGTGAGGTTTCTGTCTAGGCAGGACCGCTCACCATTGAGGCTTCCACCCAGGTCCAGATTTGGCACTGTGGAAACTGCAGCTTGCAGGTTCCTTCCAAACAAGCAGGTCAGGGAGTGTCTCTGGTGTGAGTGATGCCTTCCTGTGGTGTCTCAGGGAACAGGCAAGAGAACTATAGGAGGATGTGGCAAGGCTCTGAAGCATCCTTTGCCATGAGGTGTTCATCAGTTCAATGCTGGAGGAGACCTCTGGGCCTGTGAAAGAAGAGATGCCAGACACAGCACTAGACAAGAGAGAGGATGTGAACACCTAAGAGGGTGGAAGCTGGAGACTTGTGACTTCTGGCAGCAAGCAGAGATCTTGACCTTGACCTGCAGTGGTTTGTCTGGAGAACAGATATGCAGCCCTAGCATCAGAGGGAGGAGCATGTTCCTTTGGTGAAGGAAGATGGGCCAGGCCTCACCAAGGTGGGAAGGATCAAGATGACCGCCATCAAGAAGAAGCGACGGGCGGTGGTGATTAGAGACTCCCTTCTGCAGGAGACTGAGGGAGCCATCTGCCGACCTGACCTGTTGTCTCAGGAGGTCTTTTGCTTGCCTGGAGCCCAGATCCGAGTTGTCATGGAGGTTACTAACAAGGCTCATCCAGCCCTCTGACTACTACCCCATGCTGATCATTTATGTGGGCACCAATGATACTGCCAGGGGAGCCCCTGAGCATATCAAAAATGACTACAGGGTTCAGGGTGCAAGGGTGAGGAGGTCTGGGGCTCAGGTTGTGTTCTTGTTGATCCTTCCAATGAAAGGGCCTGGGCAGGAACAGGTGCGTTCTGCAGATCAACACCTGGCTGCACAGGTGGTGTCGCCAGCAGGGATTTGGCTTCTTCAACTATGGGATGCTCTTCCAAAGAGAAGGATTGCTGGGAAGAGATGGGATCCACCTGTCAAAGAGAGGAAAGAGCGTCTTCGCAGACAGGCTGGGGAAGCAGAAGACCTAGAGGAAAAGCAAGCAGGAGAGGGCAACAGGGAAGATAATTTCGTGCTTTGTGAAAAATCAGGGCAATCAACTAGTTACCTTGGGTGCCGGTACACAAATGCAGAGCCTAGGAAACAAGCAGGAAGAAGTGGAAGTTCTTGCACAGTCACAGCACTATAACTTAATTGGAATAACAGAGACTTGGTGAGATTACAGCTGTGCAAAGCTTCAGTAACCGATTTGATTTGAAAGATATTTGGTGGCCAAATCTCTGAATCTGAATTGAATTGGGAGACTCATTAAAAGCTCCAGATTGAATCGGAAGCCACCGAATCAATTTGGAAAAGATTTGGCAGCAATTCAGAGATTCAGCCATAGATTAAACAGCCAGCAGTCCTCAAGGACGCTGGACACAGCTGCCTCCAGCTCGTAAGTCTGTTGTGGTGGGTGGATGGGGGAGGGAAGGGGCATGGGGGGCACAGATCAATGCCCCCACAAAGAAGGAGGGATTGGGGCTGGGGCTGGGACAAGCTGCCCGGGCGGGGGGGGGCATGGGACTCAGGGAGGGGGACTTCCGCCACTGTGTGCTACCATGCACCGCTGGTCTGGGAGAGCATGGAAGTGGGCGTGTGCCCCTGGATCGGCAGGGAGCGGGCTGAGCCAGGCTGCGCTCTGGGAAGCTAGCCCCAGTCACCCGCCCGCCACTGGGCTGCGCTCTCCATTGCAGGTGGAGCCATGGCTGCACTTCAGGTGGCTGGCCCCAGCCACAACCCAGAGCACAGCCCTGGCTCCGCCCACCCCACAGAGCACAGTGGAGCAGGGGCTATGGGGGGGCTGCAGCCACCTCAAAATTCCCTATAGCCCCTGCCACTGGGCCAGGCCCAGTTCAGCTGCATGCGCCTGCCTCCATCCCCTACTGCTGCTTGCCTAGCTGGGTCAAAGCTGCGGCTTGTCTGGGAGGCATGGGAAGGCTCGGCAAGTGGCAGGAGGGCATAGCGCCCACTCTTAGTGCCTTCTACCACCCATCTTGCGCCCACCTTGCGCCGATCTAGGGACATGTGCCCGCTCCCATGCCCTCCCAGACTGGTGGCGCGCAGTGGCGGGAGCCCCCCTCCCCAAGTCCCACGCTTGGACAAGCCACAGCTCCGTCCCATGCCTGCCCCGCCCCAGCTGGGCAGCCCCAGCCCCACTCCCTCCTTCACTGCAGGGGGCATTGAGGTGGTCCCCCACACACACACACACACACACACACACACACACCCTTCCCTCCTCCCCTCTCCTCCACCCACCACAACAGACTTATGAGCTGGAGGCAGCTGTGTCCAGTGCCCTTGAGGACTGCTGCCTGTTTAGACTATGGATTAATCTCCAAATTGATGCCAAATCTTTGGATCTGAATCGACCAGATTGAACTGGGACAAGGATTCGAATCACCTAATCAAATCGCTGTCCCTCCCAGTCAGCTGAATCTGAATCAAATACTTGCCACTTTGCACAGGCCTAGGTGGGATAGCTCCCTTGGAGCACTGTCATGGATGGGTACAGATTGTTTAGGAAGGACAAGCAGGGGAGAGGAGGAGTTTCACTTTACGTTAAAGAGCTGTGTGATTGCTCAGAGCTCCAGTATGAAGCTGGAGATAGGCCTGTTGAGAGTGTCTGGATTAGGGTCAGAGGGGAGAGCAACAAGGGTGATGTTGTAGTGGGGGTTGAAAACCCCTGAACTAAATCACAAAATGGACGATTCTAAGAAGTGGAAAGTTGGACAAATAACTAGGGAAGATTTATAAGAGTATTGCTTGGGTATGCAAGGATGAAGTCAGGAAGGCCAAAGCACAATTGAATTTGCAGCTAGCAACGGATGTGAAGGGTAAAAGGAAGGGTTTCTACAAGTATGTTGGTAGCAAGAGGAGGATCAGGGAAAGTGTGGGTCCCTTACTGAATGGGGGAGGTAACCCTGTGACAAAGTGTGCAGAAAAGGCTGAAGTGCTTAATGCCTTTCTTTGCCTCAGCCTTCACAAGCAAAGGCAGCTCCCACACTACTGCACCAGGCAGCACAGTTTGGGGAGGAAGTGAGCAGCTCTCAGTGGTGAAAGAACAGGTTGGGGAGTATTTAGAAAAGCTAGATTTATACAAGTCCATGGTGCCAGATAAGATGCACCCGAAGGTGCTAAGGGAGTTGGCTGATGTGATTGTAGAGCCATTGGCTATCATATTTGAAAACTCATGGAAATCAGGAGAGGTCCCAGATGATTGGAAAAAGGCAAACATAGTGCCCATATTTAAGAAAGGGCAGAAGGAGGATCCAGGGAACTACAGACCAGTCAGCCTCACCTCAGTCCCTGGAAAAATTATGAAGTAGTTCATCAAGTAATCCATTTCTAAGCACTTGGAGGGGAAGAAGGTGATTAGGAACAGTTGGCATGGATTCACCAGAGGCAAGTCACACCTGACTAACCTGATTGCCTTCTACAATGAGATGAGTGGCTTTGTGGATGTGGGGAGACAGGTGTATGTGGTCTACCTTGATTTTAGCAAGGCTTTTGATATAGTCTCTCACAACATTCTTGCAGGCAAGCTAAGGAAGTATGGGGTGGATGAACAAACTGTAAAGTGAAAAGAAAATTGGCTGGAGCATTGGACCTAGAGTGTAATAATCAATGGCTTGATGTCTAGTTGGCAGTTGGTATCAGTTGGAGTGACCCACAGGTCAGTCCGGAGGCCAGTTTTGTTCAGCGTCTTCATCAATGACCTGGAAGATGGCACAGAGTCCGCCCTCAGCAAGTTTGCAGATGACACCAAGCTGTGGGGAGTAGTGGATATGCTGAAGGATAGGGGTAGGATTCAGAGTGATCTAGACATATTGGAGGATTGGGCCAAAAGAAATCTCATGAGGTGCAACAAGCACAAGTGCAAAGTCCTGCACTTAGGACGGAACAGTCCCATGCACCAGTACAGGCTGGGGACTGACTGGGCAGCAGCTCTGCAGAAAAGGACCTGGGGGTTACAGTAGACAGTAAGCTGAATATAAGCCAGCAGGGTGCCCTTGTTGCCAAGAAAGCTAATGGCATTCTGGGCTGCATTGGTAGGAGTGTTGCCAGCAGGTGAAGGGAAGTGATTATTCCCCTGTATTCAGCACTGGTGAGGCCACATCTGTAATACTGTGTTCAGTTTTGGGTCCCCCACTACAGAAAGCATGTGGACAAATTGGAGAGAGTCCAGTGGAAGGCAGGTGAGGGGGCTAGGGCACATGACTTATGAGGAAAGACTGGGAACTGGGCATATTTAGTCTAAAGAAAAGGAGACTGAGAGGGAACATAATAGCAGCCTTCAAGTACCTGAAGGGGGATTCGAAAGAGGATGAAGTTAGACTGGTCTCAGTGGTGGCAGATGACAGAACAAGGAGCAACGGTCTCAAGTTCCAGCAAGGGAAGTTTAGGTTAGATACTAGGAAGAATTTTCTCACTAGAAGGGTTGTAAAACACTGGAACAAGTTCCTCAGAGAGTTGGTGGAATCTCCATCCTTGGAGGTCTTCAAGACCCGGCTAGACAAAGCTTTGGTATCACTGTTTGTTCCCCTCCAAAAGGGACTGGGGACCTTCCTTCTGGGTGCCAGGCTGCTTGTGCATCAGGCACTGTGAGCAGCTGCTTGATCCCAGGCTGATCACATGCTCTTCAATGTGCCCAGCCCAGGGGAAGTTTAAAGGGTGCATGCGTAGCTCAGGAGTAGGGCTGCTTCCAAGATGCTGAGGGTGTCAAAGGTTGATGGGAAGGTTTCTACCTCCCAATCAATCCCTACCAACACTATGGCTGCCATGTCCTCTATTACTGGGTTACAGGAGGGGCAGTGCTCTGTGCAAGCCTCTTTGAACAACTTTTAATGAGTACCTTCTTTGAGGCAGGTTTGCCCTTTTCTATCATGTCATAATTTTTTTGAATGTCTGACATGTTACTATTTAATGCATATAACTTGCATTAATCATATGATAAACATAGTATTTGCCAGGGGCCATGTGGATTATTTATTCTGTTAAGAACTTCTCAGGTTTTGCTCTTCCTATTATTTAAATGAAACAATGGTTACTGTCAAAGGAAACTGTCAGGCTACTGTTTGTCCCCAACAAACTGTTCCCAAGCAAACTGGTGGGTGCCGAAACTAGTGTGGCCTGCTGAGAAACTTACAGTTGGTGCACAGTTACCCTAGCTGAAACCTGATCAAGGAGTGGGAGAATTGGGGGGATTTCACTCAGGGAGTTAAAGGCACAAAGGCTAACAACTGAGTGGTTATACTCAGAGAGACTTAAGAAGGTTGGGATGCCATTAGTGAGAGAAGTGCCAGAATGTAGTACTCGCATCCCAAGTTCAAGGGCATGGAGTTTTAAAAAAAGAAAAAAACAAACCAAAACCCCCCCAAACTAAGTTGTTCCAGCTAAATGACTGCTAAACTATGCCCAGTGCCATTTGTAGAACTTGCTTGCAGAATAAAACTTTGTCAAGTATTCTCAAATTGACTTTTGTATTGTAACAATTCACCTAATTTTAACCCAATTTTCTTAGAGATCAACCCCCAAACATCTAAAACTAGGAATAGTCTTAAGGATTGGGTGTCCTTTTCAAGTTTTGTTTTCTTTTTTTTTCCCCCTTAGCAACAGCATGCCCATGGCTTCGCATCCAGTTTGTTGCTAATTAACAGTTGCTATAAAAACATAGATTCTGTAATTAACAAACCCCATGATATATACAGGTTACAGTTATTTAAAAACATGTTCTGCATTGATCATAATTAGCAGTGAGTGTATCTCTACAAATGTGAGCTTTTTAAAATCCATTTGCTCTTTCATAAATACACATGCTGCCATATTTTTTTTTATCACGTAGCACCCTCCTCCCCTCCCTCCATATAGTTCCTGGAGGGAAGAGAAGGAAAAGGAGCAGCAGCCATCTTAGTATTTCCATGTCTCTATTCTGGTCAGAAAAATCAGCTTCCTTACTTAACGCTAATTTGTGAGGGAGGGATACAAGTGATATACAAGTAAATACAGTAATGGAATTTTGTCTAGTAACCAATTAAATGGAGCCTTTAAATGTTTGTTTTAAAGGGTGAGAAACTTGTTTTCCTGAAGGAAGTTAGTAACATCCATATATGCATTGGAAAACGTAGAAGTAGACAGTATTCCACTTACTATTTTGCAACATTTTTTTTACACAGGTACAGGAACCAGTATCCAATTCTTGGTCTCTTGTCTGATGACTTCAAAGCTACATTACCAGGCAATCAATCTTGCACTACTGTAGTTGAGAGGACTGGAGATAGTTGGAAACGTGTAAGTTACCCATGTTGCTTCCCGCTGAACGTGCAGATTCCATATTCCAAAATCCATTGATTATGTATTTAGACTTTAATAGCAAAAATGTGGTAAAAGAGGTAAAGTAGCAGTGTGAATACAACTGAGAATCTCTCTTGGGCTGCATCCAGATGTGCCACTACATGTGGTTTGTGGCACCACAGACCTCTCTACAACTCCACAAACTGCACACCCCACACATTAAAATATGCCCTATGCTGCAAATTTGCAGTAAGAGAACAAAATTTGCTACCAGGAAAACCTAGTAGCAAAAAAAAAAAGTGTTGCAAAAAAACCCCAACAGAACACTGGCGAACAGGGCGACTTGATCCTCCCAGTAGATGCTCTGGCTGCTGACCAGAGCATATCCTAGCTCCTTTAGCACATCAGGAGGAGGGGGGAAATGGTAGTTTCCCTGAGGAAGGGCGTTTTGCCCTGCATTGCAGTGGATGCACATCAGCAGAATAGCACAAATTTGCCCTCATGTGGAGATGTGCTCTTGGAGTACTTTTCCATTTCTATAAATTAAAATAGTGAAGCAAGCAGTAAGTTACTAAGAAGAGCCCAGAGAATGTATTACTAGTGTGTGAAATTATACTTTCTCTAAAAATGGGCTGTGTTTCTTAATAAAGTATTAACAAAACAGCCTCTGATTTTTCCCCTCACATCATTTGTACCTCATATATGATAATCCTTCCTAAATTTGCCTCTATACCATCCTTTTTCATGTGTAAAAATCTAAATGTGGTACAATAAAGAAAAAGTAACTGCTGAATTCTAGCTCTGAAAATTAGTTCTTAGTCAAGTTACCACATATTCAGCAACAGCTAGAATGAAGAGCCATTCAGGAGGACACCTACCCAGCCTGACCTAAAGTCATGTTTTTCTTCATAACCTGGGGTCTGACTACTGGAAAAACTGATCCAAGTTATGGAAGCCATTTAGGGTTTTAGCCTCTTACCTACCACCAAACAAGTACTAGGGTTGGCAAAGGGGTCATCCACAGGCAGCCACTTTTGACTGTCTTTCACAGTGCCTGCAATAGGAAGATTGTACTCTAAGAATTTTAAACAGGAACTGCTTCATAACCCTATCTTTTGTAATACCACATAGCACTGCAGGGGCGTCTGTCAGTGGCGCAGTGGACTCTTATCTCACAACCCTTCTTCAGAGCTGCCATTTTGCTTCCTGCCACGGCTGTTTATAAAACCATTGCTGAGCTGGGGTGGGGGTAACAGCTGATGAGAGACAAAGACTGTCCATCAGCTGCTGCTACCAGAGAGGGCTTGCAGGGCTTGTCACAGGATGCAACAGTTGACGAGGCTGCCAGGAGTAGCAACTCGTGATTGGATGGGGACAACTCAATCAGCGGTTGCCATCTCAAGGAGTGGCATCAGCTGTTGCCACAGAGTGGCAAAGGGGCTGCCAATACTGCTAATTGACTGTAGCACTAAGTGACCTTGTAGCATTCCAGCCAGGGGGCTGTGCACATGTGTACACCTGCATAGCACTTCATTTTTTAAATGCTGCAAAAGTATCTCAGGATTTTGCACTAAAAATGATTGTGTGCACATATATAGGTGAAATTAAAGCATTTTGTGCCCCTTTCTTTTACCTTGGGTGAAAGTACAGTTCTTACCCTCGGTTTCTGATATAAACAGATAACTGTTTAAGGTGAGCAGTACTTTTTTTAACCTTGAACATACATTTATCATATTAATAAAAATATTTTGCACCATAAACCTGCCTGACAATTTACACAGGTCTTTTTTTCACTTTGAAAGAACTTTACACTCTAAACCAATGATTGGTAGGCTTTCAGTAAAAAACAATTAAATTCAAATCTGAGGACTAAGATATTCAGAAGTGCCTCAAGTGGGTAAAATCGGAGTGAGAAGCAAGGAGACCACACAAGCATATGTTACATTGCATTGTTAATCTCTCCTATTCTTTTTTTCACAAGAAAGTTACAGGATCTAAAATGAGAAGAATAAAATAAATGAGAAATGTAAAAGGATTAGGAAGAAAAGTAAAATATGAATTTCGCAAGGAATGAGTTTGTGATAGTAGCTGAACAACAGGCAGTTTGAGATGTGTGACTGAATAGAAAAAGAGGAGAAAATGTTAAACATTTTATTATCCCATTTGCTACTGGGAAATGTGAGTGATTTGCCAGTCATAAGGATACAGAAAATTGGAAGAGACAGCTTTGAGACTCATCCATTTGTAATGCAATTCAAAAGGAAATCCCAGCTGTAACAACACTACCTGCTTATGTTCAAACCTTGGTGAATAGAATTGTTATGAAAGTTAAATGCTATTTGTCGGGACCCAGGGCAGCCGGCCAGCAGCTCTCCCTGACTCCCACTCGGGCAGATAAGGGTCCGTCAGGCGGGTACTTGTGACGCTTGGAGTGGAATTAATTAGGCGGACGCTTATCGGTTGCAAAGCAAGATTATTTACTCATGCCGTCAAGGTGGTAAAAGACGGAGGTCAAAGATACTTGGTTAGTTACAGCTTAAGGTTCGTAAGGTCGTAAAAGAGTTTGTTGGTCTGCATAAGAGGCAGAGAAATGGAGAAAAGGTCGGGCTGGCAAGTCGTCAATTTACGTCTGAGAATTGGGTCAAGACGGGGGAGAAACTGACAATTGATCAATTTGTCAGTTACTCTCATGCATACGTTCAGAGGTTTTTTAGGTGCGTGTGCGGAGGTCTCCTGTTCTTCACGGAAGTGAAGACAGGTTTTATTTGTGTAATAGCCAATTGCTTTTCGCCACGTCATAAATTTAATTAGAATCGCCAGTTATCTAGTGGTCTTCGCTAGGGTCTTATCACAGGGTTATTCCTTGTTTTCTTTGACCAATTATAATGATTTATGTACAGCACAGAAGGCTAAGTTTCATTTCTAGTTAGTGTCGCAGTTATAAATCTCTTTTTGACATGCGCAGCAAAAAAACTGTTACTATCATTTTTGTTAGTTAACTCTTAGTTAACCTAGTGCAGACTAAACCTGTTTTGAATGGTTTTACTTGTTTGTGACATGGGCACTACTTAATTTGGTTGTGACACTATTTAAAAACCCAAAGTATAGCATCATGGCCTTTTTAAAATTGTTTTCATCTACTGTAGAGAAATAATGATGATGAACTATAAGCTAAGAAAAATAATAATTTCTCTCTCAAAATAACAGCACAATTTATGAATTACATGAAAAATCTGTACAAGATTTAACGATGAAATCCTGGTCACATTTACATCATCCCAAAATATTAAGCAAATTTCAGCTGGAAATGGATTGTGTAGTTATAGTGAAACCTGTCAGAAGTTTTAATTCATCCTTACTTCTCCAGCATCAGAATAGTTGCTCTAATGATACCTGATAATGTTTCAGTTTGTATCAGTTACCGCAAAGATAGTCGGCATATAAGCATATTTTTGTCATTGGATAGTGGATGTGTTTATAGGTAAAACTTTGAAAACTATCTATGGACTCAAATTACTGTAGCATATAAATGCGTAGCACCCATGGCATGCTAAATACAACTAGTTGAATAACAGAGCCAAATATTTATATCTGTGTGTGTAAATGATTTGTTGTTTTGGGGTTTTTTTCCAGCATTGTTGAGTAGAAACTGTGAATGCTCAATGCCTGTGAAAATCAGGCCATTCGTTTGTAGACATCTAAACTTTAGATAACCAAGTTTATAGAACATTAAGCATTTTAAGACAGATTATCTAAAACAGTGGTTCTCAACCTTTTTTGTACCAGGACCAATTTGTAAACATCAATGGCAAGTCCAGACCCAGTGCTCCTCACTCCTGACCCACTGCCCCCCACCCCCAGCCCTACAGTGTGTGGGGTAGGGGGTGGGTATGTGGGGTGGGGAGGTGTGCATGGGACATGGGGGGGCACCAAGCAGCCCCTTCCAGGCTGGAACTGCCAGCCTGCAAAGGAAAAGCCACAGCTTTCCATGGTTGGGTTTTTTTGGTTTTTTGTTTTGTTTCTTTTTCTCCCCACCCCCTGCCCCCATGCTACTGATATGGCAGCTGCAGGTGGTCCCCGCTCGCCGACACCGACAGAGCGTGGCAGCTGCAGGCGGTCCCCACTTGCCGCCATGGTGTCCCCCCAGTTGTGGGAGGCACCACTCGTTCATGATTATTGTGACCAATTTTGGGGTTGCGACCCATGGGTTGAGAAATGCTGATCTAAACTATATTATTATATTCTAACAATTTAAATTCTGTATTCTTTTCTGGGCATGAAAATAAGTATAAATGATACCCTTGTTCCCTTGGTTTCAGAGAGATGGTGAATCATCCCTTTTTTGGGATTTGCTCTGTGCTTAATAACATTGTTTACAGCTTCATGATTTGACTTTGATAGCACCAGCTGCTGTAAGGGTGGTAGCCTTCACGATTGGCACATATTAATGAGCTGGAAGACTTGATGGTCTCCCTGAATAATAAAACAGAGAAGTTAGATATTACCTAAAAATTAATTAGTGTAAGAAACATGGTATATGCTTTGTTAATTACAAAAATATAATGAGAGGTTTTTATTTTGTGAACAGGAATGCTTCACTTCCACTTAAAGAACTACTTCATTCAGGAATGAACGAATCCGTTTGGAGGTCGCAGCTGCTCAAAGGAGTTCTCACCAAATGATCGTCCTTGCTTTGCTTTCTGCTGTCTTTCAGCCAGTAAAAGGTTCAACATGAAATTCAGAAGTAGGTGTTAGGGGGAGACATTAAAGAGAAGGAAATAATGGATTTAAAGGAGGCATGAGCTTTCATTGGAGCAATTGATTAACTTCTGCTGAAGAACATGCATTTTTTTCATCTACTGAAAAGCACAAATTCAGTGGGAGGAAAGGGGGGGGCAATGAGTGGCAGTGGCATTTAACTCTCTGTGTCATACTGAGAAACTCTATGGGCTGGATGATCCACTTCCACAGTGCCTTGATTTAGTGTGTTCATCTCTATGGTGAATTATAAAGACCATTCAGTTTTTCCTGATGATAACTGAGTAGTTTCTGTTCCTCTTTTTTACTACTTATCTTTACATGTATTAAATTTATACGGTATAAAAAATGTTGTGCCTTTGCTGCACATATACAAGATTTTTCAAGTAGTGAAATCTCATAACCCTATTTGAAAATATTTTGATTTCACTAATCTTAGGTTGGCTCCAGTCCTGCGTTTGTTTGCCCTATCAATATTGAGATAAAATGTCAAGTTAACAAGAAGCACAGATTATAGAACTGCTTGAAATTTTAATTGGTGACATTTTATATACACCTTGTATCTATCTAAAATTACCTACAAAACAAACGCATCAGAATTAGAAATTATAGGTTACCAAAGTCATTATATTCTTTGCTTTGTGTAAATTTGCTTGTAATTACTTCTGGCCTGTATTCTGTCAGCTGCTGAGGGGTTTTTTGTGCAAAACATATCATATTTAGCAAAATAATCCTGTAAACAGTTAAAGAAATATATATATGAGATTATGTTGGAATAGAGATTTTTGGATTGAACCTTTACTGAAAAGCTGTGACTATCCTTACCATATATCTTTTGCTTAATATAAAAATATATTAAGTTATATATAACTTATAAATTTCAAGTACATGGTTTATGGTTTCTTTCTATATAGAAACATTTAGAATAAATACAGCTCTTGGGCTAAATTCTGTAACTGGAGAAAAACTTCCTCTTAATTCACTAGAAAGTTTTGCTTCATTCAGGACTACAGAGTGTGTCCCGATTTATATATAATTTTAAAAAGTCTAAGCGATATTGTTAGTTTTAGAAAATGATATACTAGTTGTATAAGATTTAGGGGGAATTAAGGAGATATATAGAGTACTTTAAATGGGTGCTACTATGGTATCACATTTATAAAGGTTTGCTTTTCTATATAAGTACATCCACTTCAAGAAATATTCATTTGGAAACTGTTTTGTATCTGACATGTAGGTTGGTGAAAGAGCCCTTGTGAGCTAGTGATGATAAAAGCTTTGAAATAAACATTCCTGAGTACTAAGATGTATAGTTTGCCCGAGTTCAATTTTTTGGTTCATGTATCTGCCTGCCTTTGAAACCTCCAGTGTTTGTCTATTCATTTTCTTTCATGTAACGTTATATTTTTATTTTTATTTTAAAAAATTAGGCACTTTAAATATGTTAAAAGACTACTACTAGATACCAAATTGCTCTGATAAGGCCCTCAAATTTTTCACGTGGAATCTGAGAGTAGTGTGGTAAAGATGGCAGTATAGTCTTGAGTACTGCGGGCAAAGAACCAGCCATAGAGCATCACTGTTTCCAAGTCCCTCAGATGCTGGGTGCGGGATTTGATGGTCCCACTGCACCACTGGAATAATAGGGAGATCATTGTTGTTTTGAATTCCATAGATTTTTCCCCTTCAAAATCATGAAGCAGCAATTATACTAGTAAAATAATAAGGTGCAGATTCAAAATATTATGGTTTATGTGCTCCCTTAGTTGCTGTCCTTGAGCTCCACCCTTCCTCAGACAAATGCCCAGCTAAAAATAACAGGCCAGAACTTGCACAGTTCTTCAAAGGCTGGACTCCTATATAGGAAATTCCTGAAAATTAAATCTAAAGTGTTTGGCCATGAACAGGTAGGAACATACTAAATAGTATGGTCTGCATGTGTTTTGTGACACTGTACTTGCAGCCAAAAAAACCTGAACTGCTACCAGTGGCATGAAAGCCTGAGTGAGAAGTGGGCAGTCTTATTTTTCTGCATCCCTTCAATCAAGATGTCCTTTAAAAATACATGGTGTGTGTGTGTATGTGCGCACATATCTTTGAAAGAAAAAAAGTATATATCAAGAATATGTATATATGGTTGGAAACAAGTAAATAGGCAGTTTGGAAGGAAAAAACTCTACAGGCAACAGGAAAACCAGATGTAAGCACATGCATTTTATAGCCTGTTTAGGCACTGAAAAAAGCTTGTATGGTAACAGTGCCAAATGACTGGTGTACGATGCATTTATTGAGAATTAATAACTCCATATGACTAGGAAAGTAAATGTATAAAAATACTACACAAGTTTGTTAAATGTAGAAGGCAGGACAGGGAGGCACCATAGAGGTTACCTTGTTCAGACCCCCATCTGGGTTCTCGCTTCAATCTGTGAGGTTGAAGTGGCTGTATCCTTGAAGAAGAGGAGAGCGAGCAGGTACCTTAGGGCTGGGCACTGACCTAGTCCCCTGAGAGGTTGCCAACCCAAAAAAGTGTGCAGGCAGAGTGGAGTCACCATTGCCTTTGTCTGTGGTACAGCAACAGGCTTCTGTGCTTGTGAAGCAGAAAATCCTGGATGCCAAATCTGGGTCTGGCTAAACCGTGGGTTGTGACTGCCTGCAACTTTTAAATCTCATCCTGCTCCCTCAGCCATCACCAATCAAGGAGTCTGACAAAGCACGCTGCCAGCTCTGGAGCCTGTGTCACAGCAAAATGGCCACCAGGTGCTGGGATCAGACCCCCAGTCTGGATTGGCTGCTGACTTCTACATTTTCCCCAGTGGCCAAGAACAACACCTGTTATGGAGGAGCCCCACACGGAAGGCTCCTGCCCCTGGCTCCTGTGGCACTCTGAGCTGCAGTTGCAGGCCTGCTAACGGCAAGCTGGGAGTTCAAGGCTCTTTTCCCCTGCACCTTGTTGGGATACAGCAGTGACTTGGCTCTGGGGCTAGATGGCTGGCTGCCTGAACTGGCTGTTTCCCTCAGCATCCAAGTAGAGCAGTGCCCCACTCCTGGATCCTCCCAACTGCTGCCACAGCAGCAGAGTGCAAAGTTGCAAGACCTGGCACTTGGGCCTGAACCCCCAAAGCATTTGCAGGGACAAATTCAGGGAGGCAAAGGTCAGAAACAAATTGCATCTGGGTGGGACTAAGAAAGACAACAATAACCAATTTCTGGTAATACAGTGGTCAAATCAGAAACACTAAGGAGCCATTGGAGTCCACTGCTAAATACTTGCGGTAAGCTTATAACACAAGTTATGACCAAAGAAGGCAGACCTGCTACTTCACCTTTGTCTGTACACACCCATGCACACAAGTGGTAATGAAAGATTGTCAGAGCACGTTTGATCAGGTTTGAATGAATTAAAATCAGCAGGGCCTGATAACCTTCATCCCTGTGTACTGAAGGAATGAGAGAAGGGATTTCTGAGACCTTAGTAATTACATTTGTTAGACCCCGACTCCATGCGGCGCCCACCGACTAGGGAGACAACAATCCAATTGCTCATGGGTCCTGTTACTCATTAGCCAGAGCAGGCAGGGGGCAAACACCAGCACACATTGCTCATAACAGCTTTATTCAAATGGACACAGCTTTGGACAAAGGTCCCTCACAGACACACAGCCCGTGAACCAGGGGATCTGCCATGAACAATAGTTTTTTTCCCACATTTATACACTTTGGTTTATGCTCATAACCATTCATTCTACCTCTGTCCCTCCTTTTTTTCCACCCACTTCTCCTCCCATCTCAAGCTCTGCCTCCATTTACTGTTTGCTTCATTAGCATGGAATTGCCTATGCATTTCAGTCATTTACATGTCTTTTTGCTATAAGTGCATGTCTTAAGACCTTGACTTTTCTTCGGTCAATGGGCGGACTTTGACCAAAACCTGGAAGCTTCTGGAGGCTTCTTCACCATTCACCTTTTTGCATATGTTCATCTCGAATTCAGTTACCAATTATGTGTTGTTTTTCACATTCCACTCTGTTTTTCTGTCTCAGGTTGTACCATCTTCCGCATTCCTAAAACGTCACCTCATTCACAGCACACAGACTCACGCAGATTCACTTGCTGCTTCTTCCTCAGAAAATGGTTGACACAGTTAAGATGGTTACTTAGCATAAGCAAATGGCTGGCTTAGATATTATTCTGCCTTGTGGTCAGCAGCTCTGCTAGGCCACAGGTCATGCCTTTCTTCAGCTGCAAATTCAGTGCTTCTTAAGATTCAAAATTGTCACCCTAGCAATATTTACCATATTGTGGGAGACTGGAAGCCTAGAAAAGGCTTAGAAGAAGGAAAAAAGGAGGCCCTGGGAAATTATAGACCAGTTAGCCTGATTTCAATGCCTGGGAAGTGACTGGAGGAACTGTATAAGAAAGTTTATTTGTAAACAACTGGAGGAGGAAAGACTGATTGCAAGCAACCGGTGCACGTTAGCTAAGAACAAATTTGTTCTTTTTTGACAACATATCTAATTGGATAGATGAAGGGAATGCAGTGGATATATTTCAATACTTAGTACTTCAGTACTTAGTGGATATACTTCAGTACTTAGACCTTAATAACTGTTTTAATAAAATTGTCCATGACCTTCTCATACACAAATTGGAGAAATATGAGCTTAATGGAACTACTATGCAGTGGAGAGCCAACTACTTTAATATCTGCAAGTAAAGTGTAATTTGTAATGTGTAAGGTGTAACTTTGGGTGCATCTACACATGCCCCCTACAGTGCCGTTGTTACTGCACCATCATTTTGGAAGTGCTAAATTTTGGCATAGTACCAGCCCATACTGCATCATGCACACGGCTCTCAGTTATTTTCAGGTGCTACAGTTTCATACCAACACGCTATACGGAGAGAATGCACCACTACGATGACGTAGCTGTGGCATCACGGTTTTTGCCTGCAGCTGCTGTCACTAGTGTGTTGCTACAATGACGTAGCATCACATATAGATGCACCCTTTCATAACAGCAAGAGATGGCAAGTGGACTTCGACTGCAGTCTGTCCTGGACCTGGTGTTGTTCAACATGTTTGTTAATGATTTGAACGCCAGAAAAGAAACCTTCCTGAGCAAACTTGCAGTTCAATATTGACAAATACAATGTACTACACCTAGGGAAAAATAATCAGCAGCTCAACTAGGAATTGAAGATAACCGACTGGGTGGCAGCACTGCTGAGAGATCCTCAGATTCTGGTGGATCATAGACTTGACATGAGTCTGTAATGCGATGCAGCTGCAAGAAAAGGCAAATGAGGTGCTGTGCTCATCAATAGAAATATTAGGTGTAGGACATGGGAGGTGATAGTGCCACTTTAAATGAGGCCTAACCAGTGTTGTGGCCTGGGACTCTGAATTTTTTTTAAAGGATACAGAGAACATCCAAAGCAAGTCAGCAAAAACAATCATGTACTTGAAAACCAAGCCATACAAGGAGAACCTGAGAGAAATAAGCATGTTTACCTTGCAGAAAAGGCAGTTAAATTGGGGGACACCATGGCAGTCTTCAACTATCTGAATTGCTGCCATAAAGAAGAGGCAGATAAACTTTTCTTCCTCACGGCAGAGTGTAGGGCATCTGTGTTTGGTTTGAATGGTTTGAAATTACAGTAAAGTACTTTAAGACTGCCAAGTAGGAAAAGGATCTTCACTATTCCAGTGCTTCACTTAGTGCAACAGGCTGCTTAGGGAAATTGTAGAATCACCTTCATTGGAGATCTTCAAGAAGAGGTGAACGAGCATTGGTCAGTAATGATCTAGGAGTATCAATCCCTAGAGAGAGCTGTAAATAGCATAAATATATACAGTGTATGTGTGTTTGTTTGTGTGTGTGTGTGTGTGTGTGTGTGTATGAAAATGCACTTTTCTGTTTGAATACACTGTCTTTACAAACTGCCTTTTGTTTCATTATAATGGGACCTGTCTACAAGCAAATACTGCCTGTAATTTACTACAGCAAGGAACAAATTCATTAAACAGGGGCTGGCCTTAATACTTTTTTAAGCAGCTGGTGCTTATGTTATTACTTAATGTACTACATTTATAGTAATACTAAAACTGTTTGTCCCCCTGAACTCTAACCATGAAATGGAAAACCAGAACAAGCATACACTGCCATGTCCCAACTGCCATGTCTTTACTCTGAAGTGAAAGGTACATTTCTGGAGAGAGAGAGAGAGACTTTGCAATGGTACGTCAAAGAGCATCAAAATACACAAAACCTACGGCCCAAAACACACCAAATGGATCCAGACCA